CTGTACAGCTTCGCTGTTTGATGCACCTCTGCTTTAATCTTTGCAGCTTCGCTGTCTTCCTGTACAGCTTCGCTGTTTAGGTTCTTTGTGTTTAGGCCTGCTCCCATGGGAGCTCGAACCGGCCTTCGCAAAAGACGCAAAAGACCCGGTTGACGGTTCACCGCCGGCGCCAGTCTAAATTCCTATAGCTCTGAGAGGGCTCTCCGGGAATGTCTAGTCTATCGAAGCAGAGAGCTTCTTGGGGCATGTCTATAAAAAAAAGCATCAACATTTGCAATTTTTCGGTGCCGACCAACGAGCTCCATCCCGAGCCGGAATCCCTCTAGCTCATCGAGAACGGAGAGCTAAAACGTCAAATTTGAATTTCGGTGGCGACCAACTAGCTTCACCCCGCGCCGGAATTTCTCTAGTTTATCGATGCCGGAGAGCTCTACGAGGTATTACTCTTCTAGCTTCGCCGCTAACGCCCTAAGGGAAGCTCACTGAGTCATTCTTGCAGCATCTCGGCCGACTCGCAGTCCTGCAGTGGCAAGGGGAAAGCAAATCAGTGCGCGATGACATGGTGACGGCTGCCTTTGTCCTTGACTGCTGTCTGAATGCGGATGAGCATGCCTGTCCTGTGCCGCCAAGAAGACTGCTGGCTTGTTCAAACTTTCCGACGTTAGGGTTTGCATCCTCGCTAGGGGACGCTGGCTCGTGGGAGGAGCGGCCAGGGAGGCAGAGCGCGGTTTCGGTGCCGGTGTCTCTGCAGGCAGGCGCGTTTACACCCAGTTGCGCGGCGCCAGGCCGGCCAGCACGTGGACGAGAACGCCCAGGGTGCGACAGTTTTCGATGCTTAGAAGGTGCGCCCGCAAGCCGCGCGCAGGCTGGCGCAGACGGGGCTCAGAGCGTCGTTCTCGTGCGGTGCCCGACTGCAATTGGGGTGGCCGCCCAGAGGCTGTCTTCTGCGCGCACTGCTGTTTTTTCGAGCGAGGGGCGAAGGACGCTTGGAGGGTCATGATGGAAACGTGGATCC